TTGTTTCGTTGCGTGCTGCCATTAAAACCCTTGTTCCTGATCCCTGGAATCCTGCCCTGTTTATCTGTGCTCCGGGCACGTACACGATCCATAACAAATAGTATTGTAATAGTAATGCCTATCTCTATTGTTGACTGACCTGGCTGATCACGATGAAAAGGGGTTTATGATTTGCCAGCATAAGCATGCGCTGTTTTCGTGTACAGCGCCATGTATGGAGAAAAAAAAGAGGATTTCGTGACAGCACACCGCGAACAGTCCACGTGAATTTGACAGTGTGCTGATGACTCCTTACTGCGTCACATCGAGAATGTATGTAAGTCCAGGGTTCATCCCATCTTGTGCACTGTTTTCTAGAATGAACACTGGAAAAAATCTATAACTCATTGTTACTAACAGTCGACGGATGGATGGGTAGTAGTTGGATGGATGGTTGTAGGTTCACTCTAGTTACATTCAGAATATCAGACATCTGGATTAGAAAGAGAAGGGTTGTAGGTTTGAATTCTTCAGCAGTATATTGCTGCCAAAATTTGCTCAGGTTCTCTATATAAAGATGTAGGCTGCATTACAGTGCTAATCGCCCACTCAACCCTGTTCCACACACAACTTGGTACCTCGGCTGAACACTGCTTATGTTTGCACTGTCTGCTCATTTTTCACATTGTATATCTCCGGTTTTCACCTATATCATTGCATTTTGTCACAATATTCCGTACACTGTCAGAAAAAAAGTAACAATTTGTACCTTTCAGGGTACTATTACTTGTCACTGGGGCTGTACCCTAAAGGGTCTGCCAATTGTACCCTTAGCTGTAACTAAGTATACCTTTTAAGGTACATAAAGGAACATTTCTGTACTGTTGACGGTGCATTAATGCTGTTCGTCAGAATAAATGGAATGTTCTTCAGAGTCCATTTCTTTATTACAAGAGTACAGTCCCAGTGACAAGCAAAGGTACAAATTTTTACCCTTTTTTCTGAGTGTAGGGGTTGCTAGTTCAGTGTAATGTTCCCTTCATGTTCGCACCGTTTACCTCAGTCCAAATTCCTCCAGCAGTCTAAAACATGCGGTTATTTGATTTAATGTCTCTAAATTGCATCTTGTGATAGATTCCAGAAACTCTGTGACCCCAAACTGGTAAGTGGTTATAGAAGATGCGGGCCTATACATTCCGCTATAGAAGCCCATAAGCATCGTCTTTTGCCATACGTAGAGTGCTAAATTTGGATTATGATGGGCGCGCTAACACAAAAACGTATTATTACATTTTACAGATAATTATCAAAGACAATCAACTGTCCCTATACATGAGTAAACTCACGGGTAGCTTGCTGCAGTTCCTGTTATAAAATGCCCCAACATTTTCTTTCACTCTCTCGTTCTTATTGTAATGTTTGTCCACCCAGACACATTAACGAGTTCCCCTTTGCTCCGCGGGAGGAACATTTCTTGTGTTTCTTTTAACAGTCAATTATTCCGGCTTCAGTGAGCTAGGGCAAAAAGTGAATAACAAAAAAATTATTGGGGGGGGATGCAAAGTCTAGTCGGTGGAGGAATGACGGGCAACAATAAATAAGAGTTTTCATTTCAAAATATCTGTAATTACCATTAAATTAGACGCTAAAGAAAATAGACACTTAACAATACCAGATTCTAATACCATGCCAATATGAGTAAATGTATTTTCTCATTATTTAACCTTATTAAAATACAACGAAAGTTTCATTTCCGACAATTTGTATTTGAAACAAATTTAACAGGGAAATTCACTCAATATTCATAAAGCATGCTAGTCGTTCTGTTGTAAAATCATCATCTAATTCGGGCAAATGAGACGTGCTGGTGTCAACGCCGAGGTTAACGATCCCGTCCTTCCTCACCTTCTGCCTGTCAGGATGACAGCCGTGGTCTTCGCGGGGGTCGTCCCTTAACCCCTGGCAAATGTGGGAAAACAACATAATAAAAACAAGGGTCGGGCACAGCCATTAAAGAACACGGTTGCTGATTATTGTGTAGCCCAAACTAGGGAGTTTATGGACTCAGACAGCCTAATGACCTCCTCGCCCACGTGAGTCTGTCACGCCTATATAAACAAGGAACGGGGGGGGGGGGGGGGACTTAGAATTGCATCTCTAACTGGAATCGAATGAAAGGATCAATGACTAGCCAAACTTTGTTTTTTATTATTGTTTTTCTGACACCCAGACTGGGAAACATGGAACCGCTTTAACTTATTTAGTTGCAGCTCACAGCGGCATCCGCACTGTATGCATGAAAATAGTTTCAGATCATTTAATGGGAAGGATTTTTGTAGAATGGTCTAAAACTTTAAAAAGCCGGGAAGTTTGTTAAGTAAAATAATTACTACTTTATATTCCAGTTCTATTAGAGATGACGCTGCTTTAGGTCACCGGAAAATAACACCCCCCTTATACTGACGTGCTTCGTGTTTGTTATTGAAATATTAATTTTGGAGTCCTTTACACTTACCTCATTTTGAATCGTGGTAACAGGGTGCTCCCGTCATTGGGTGTCTGCCAGATGTGTCTGAAAACCACTGAAATTATAAAGCATTAAGTATAAAGTGTTAACATTTTCAGTCTGTTTTTTTTTTTTTTTAATTTATGCATACGTGCCAAGTGATTGTGATATAGAATAAAACGCATTTCATTTGATTCATTAGGCCTACTTTGATCTGAATGGGACAGACTGAAATAAAAATGTACCACGGTCTACACTTTTGGTAAGCATGTGTTTCTCATGTCGCAGAAGTTCAATGAAATTCCATTGTAACAAAGTTTGTCTTAGAACGTTTCACCAGGAAAATAGATGCTCTACCGATACCTACGTATCAACACAAGAGGGCGACAGTACCATGATTATTTCCGCATGTAGCACGAACTTTATTATTAAATAAATATCCATACCGTTTGGTTCGGGCTTTGATTGGATTCATAAATACATAAAACTGAAGAATTTGACCGAGGTGTCATGTGTTGTATATTAATAAGTACAGCTATTCAAAACCTGATTTACTTCGACCTTGCTGGCAGCTTGCCAGAGTGCACGGTCCATCCAGTGTTCGCCTCAGTAGGATAAACGGGGGTACAACGTAGAAGGTTTAGGAGTAATTATGAGTGTCCAATTTCGACATTGCTCTGAGGACGCTTTCCCCCTGACTGTCTACTTAGGGTAAAGAGCAGATTTTTAAAAACATGACTGTAGTAATTCTACATAAAACAGTTTGAGTGTCTTTTTTGCTAATGATTTTGGGCCCCCTGAAAGCATATTATATTGGGCCCCCAAGCCAGACCAGTCACTCAGGGGCCCCTGGAATCGCCCTGACTTTCCCCACTTTACGGCCCTCCTGCATTTAGGTCTCTGCTCCCCTGTGAGACTGACATCTTTCTAAGTCACAGCAGGTCATACAACCACCCAAAGACTTCGCTGGGCGTTTGTGAATCTGTTTATGATTGATATCCCAGTCGGGCTTGGCGTTAGATTATACCTTCCACTGAGACAACCTTGTGTGGTCAGTTAATGTCAACAAGCCTGACCACCAACACCCCATCCCCCCCCCGCCCCCCCAGCTCTGCTACCTTGGGGTCCAATAAAAGACGTCTCCCTGGTGCTCCGGAGAGTGAAACTCATTCTGCTGTTTCAGGCATCGCTTACGCAATAAAATCGAGAGCGGTAACCCCATTTTTCACAGCTGGGTGGAACATGTTAACGTGTTGTTGTCATGGTCATTTTTTCTTGGGAAATAGCTATTGTATTGGGTGATTGAATGTGTGCGGTAATACATAGTCATATGTAATATTGCTATGAAGGGTAATAGGAGCAGTGGGAATTTACCCCATGCACAAAATCCTTTGTAATTTAATTTTCTATGTGCGTTTATGGATTACATTGCTTTTGCATATGTTTTTATACAGCTAAATGACCTGTGAGTTACCTCTGATTTGAATACACTGTGGAATTATTCATCAGAAATAATTCATCGGTCTTCTTATCCATAAAATGCACTGAGATCTGTTTTACCTTTAAAGCAGAAAGCTGATTCAGCAGCCAGATGTGAAACACAGGCCGCCTTCCTCTATGAAATTGGATTTAATAGCCATCTTCCCCTACAAGGCTGTACTGGGCAGACATAGTCCCAGTAGACACGTGTATAAAAGTGGTATCTCTAAAGATATTCTGCATATGGGTCAAAGATCCCAGTAAAATGCATCCAGCAGTAAGTATTTTTTTGCCATTATAGATACAGAGTAAAATAACAAAAGAGCACCCAGCTGTGATACATGGGACATCAAAGCACATTCCCAGTAAGACCCCAGATCAGTGGTTGCTGACGCGCCGACTGTGAGTGGCTAGTAGCCTATAGGGACCCAATGAGTAGCCTGTGTATCAATGATTAGAAATCAGGCCAATATTTTTTTTGTATTTTGAGTATAAATGCATATTTGCATATGTTACTTGGGAGCAATCATGATGCAAAGTGGATGTGAAAGGAAAATGATTACCGTGGCAACCCTAAGCACCTCCCCCTCACCTAACCCCCACAGCTTCCCAGATTAAATTCATTTTATAAGTAGCTCTCACAGTAAATAAGGCTGGAGACCCCTGGCCTAGACAAAAGCAAGGTGCTGATTGTGGGAGTTCCAGGCTCACTTTCACACCTGCAGAGGTCCGTAGGACAGCCGGCTGGCTTCCATTCACGCAGGTGCCCATCCATCACCACCTGTGACTGACCAGGGCTGGAGGTGCAGACCAACGGGCAGAGACCAAGCCAAAGCAGACCCTTAAGGCCACACATGGGTACGTCTCTCCTCTCTTCTCTCTGCTCTCTTCTCTCAGGTTAAGGGCAGCATGGTGGCTCACTGCATAGCCCTGTAAATCTCACCCTGCTCTCTGCGTGTGGATTTTGCATTTTCTCCTCATGTTGTGTGGGTTCCCTCTGGCTACTCTCATCTCCTTATGACCGTCAGAGTGCTCAGTGGGACTGGCAGTAACACCACACAAAACATAGCTGCTACAAACAGTATTCCATCAACTTTTAGTAAACTGCTTATCCAGAGAGGGTGACAGTGATCAAGCCTGGAACACCAGTCCTTCATAGGATACAAAAATACCCACACACTAAGAACAACTTGGCATAGCCTATAGGGTGAGGCCAGACAGCTGTGGGTCAAAGTTGTGTCTGGAATCTCAGGGCTGGGAGGTAATAATTATACACAGAAAAGTCTTGCTTTCTGTTTGGACTGTTTCTTTAATTAGGTTTAAAAATTTCCAATCATAGATGTGGATTCTGCATCCTCCTGCCTGCCGCCGTCCGGTACGGCTGCGCGCCCCCCTCTGACCGCTAGGTGCCAGCGCAGCTCCCGTCCTTTTCCTTGACCTACCGTCACTTCCGGTGTGTATTTGATGGTGGACGAGGATCAACAGTGGAAGCTAAACGGGGGGGAAGGAAAGAAAAAAAACACGAGAGAGCGCAGCTAGGGATAGGTAGCTACATGACAGCGACGTAGGTGAGGGTTTTACCCGCTAAGATACAGGGAAAGAAAAGAGAGAAGGGACCGGCGGCGAAAGCGGGGCCTCCCTCTCTCCGTCCCTCCCTCCCTCCTGCGGTTACACGGTTACCGGGCTGAGGACCGGGGGCATAACGGGGAAGCCTTTCGAGCTCCGCCGCCATCTGCCACACTCCCAACCGCCGGCTCGTTTTCTCCTCAAGATGGGAAACGCCGCCACCGCCAAGAAAGGCAACGAGCTGGAGAGCGGTGAGTCCCGAGGGGAAGGGGCTGCGGCCCTGGACAGGCCCACCGCCTGGGCCGAGTGCGGGAAGGAGTCCGGGGGGTGCAGGGTGTGCGGTGGCCGCGGGGCGCGCGCCCATTCATTGCCGCCGGGTTAAATGCTTAATATTCGCCCTCGTCTCCGCTTGTAAGAGGGTTGGAGGGTATTAATTATAACGCATTGAGCCGCGGTAAATATGAGGAGGGGGCCTGCAAGCCGCTGCAGCCCGGCCGCTGGACACGGGGTTGGCTGCCGATCCACAGTCAGATGGCATCGCGGCCCGCCGTGCCTCCTCCGTGCTCCGGCTGGGTGTAGGACGACGGGGCGGTTGGGGGATGATCCCGGAGACCTGGGATAGGTAGGCCTTTTCGGATCCCGGTCGGACCACGGTGGTGCTCCATTTTATACGGGGCTTTTCTCTCAAGAGAGGTATCTGCTGCCGTATGGGGGTCAGATACGGGGAGGCTGGCTGGCTGTCCGGCCGGGGTGGGCAGCTGGAAGGGACATGCATCGAGAAACAGGCGGCAGTGTTATGGTGACAAACGGCGGGTCTTGTTGCAGCTGTTGCCGCACACCCTGGCCTGTGACAAATGTTGTGGCCGATGCAGGAGTATTTGATTTTGCAAACGTTTCGGGAACCTTTTCAAAAGCATTTCGTGGTGTAAAACTAGAAAGTTTTAGTAAATGGCTGCTATACTCTGAAGATCCGCATCTGCCGTGTGTTTAAGACTCGCCTGACTTTTTATGAAAGGTTTATATGATCTGTGATGAAATGGTTAGATTGTTCAGCATTACATTGGCTTTAATGAATAAAACTGATTGGAACCTATCATAGCTGATCTCCGTGTCGTATATGCTCAATTACATTCCTTAAATGCTTAACCACCCCCACAACCAAGGAGTCTTTGTTTTTGTTAGGGTGAATACTGGAAAGACCTCTGATCTTGGGTCGAGGGCTACATATAGAATCAGTTTTAGTTGCACAATTAATTCTGACACACGCAGAATGTTTACTGGAAGAGGAGAGAAAAGGCTCTTTGTTTTTTCCCTAGTGTAGCAATTGATAAGGTTGGAATTTGGAGTGATTCTCCTCTTTTTTGGAAATTGAAGGAGTTTCTACCAAGCATTCACTCTCTCTGTATGTCTTAATCTGTTTAATGAGCGCTGTGTCAAATCCTTCATCTTCTGAAAGCAAGATGTAGCCAAATGAATCGTTTTTACATTCATACCTTTTAATCCAAGTATTAAATCTTACCCAGAGTGACATATGGTCAGCCCAGCAAGTTCAGAACATCGCATCAGGAGAGGCAGTATGAATGATTTAAAATCTTGCATAATGATGTGAAGAGAAACTGCATCAATGTGTATAAATAGTTGACAAAGGCAGATTTAGTGGTTCGGTTCCCACAGTTATCATATTACACAAATACTGTGCTTGGCTTTGACCGTAAGCAAGTCTGCACTCTGCCGTGTGCTGATCTCTGTGTCTGATGGGCTTCACGCTTTTCTGGGGCATAAACGGAATAATAATGGATGTCAGAACCCAAACACGTTTTTCCCTTTACGTGTTAAAGGCACTTGCGCCATTATTCAGACGAAGGAATGCTGTACGTCGGATGGAATCGCGTGCTAGGACAGGTGTGTTTGTATCCTTCCTGTTTCTGCCAGTTTGAATTTGGTAACAACTGGTAACAATGTGAAATCGTTAATCTTTTTATCAGTGTTGCATGTTTTTGATTGACAGTTTATTCTAAGTTTGAAATTAAT